AGATTTTGGTCACTATGCTAGAGATTATCGAAGAAAGAAAGATGTAAGAGCGAAAGATAGTGATGAAGCTTAATATGCACGAGCTGGAGATATTGGTTCTGATGATGTGTTCTTGATGGTGAACACTCAGCCGAACTCTGAGAAAAACAACATGTGGTATCTGAATTCAGGATGCAGCAACCACATGGCTGGCAATAGAAACTGGTTTACCAAGTTAGATGAGTCAGTCGAAAAGGTGATAAAGTTTGCAGATGGCAGACACATAAAATCCGGTGGTAAAGGAGATATTTTGATTGTCAAGAAGGATGGTCGAAAAGCTACTATCACTGAAGTACTATATGTACCTTCTATGACAAGTAACTTGATAAGTGTAGGTCAAATATTTGCAAAAGGCTTTAAATAAAGCTGGAGAAAAATCAGATGAAGGTATATATGGCTGATGGGAGGCTAATAATGAAAGCACCAGTGGCGGAGAACAAAACGTTCAAAGTTGAACTCAGCATATCAGATAACAAGTGTCTTGCTTCAACTACAGAAGAAGACAAAAACTGGCTATGACATCACATGTATGGACATCTAAAGTTCAAAAATTTATGCATGCTCAATCAAAAAAGGATGGTGTTTGGGTTGCCGTATGTAAAGGAACCAAAGCAGGTATGCGAGGAATACTGCAAAGCAAAACAGGCTAGGAAGGCGTTCAAACATGACTTGCCAGTGAAATCAAAGCAAAAACTGGAGTTGGTTCATTCTTATGTGTGTGGACCCTTTGAAGTAAAGTCAAATGGAGGTAAAAGATATTTCCTTACTTTCATTGATGAATTCCCCAGACATATGTGGATTTACCTTATTGAAAGGAAGAGTGAGGTATTCATACAGTTCAAGAAGTTTAAGTTGCATGCTGAGAAACAAAGTGGCTGCAAATTGAAGAAGTTAAGAACTGATGGTGGTGATGAATATACTTCTGTTGAATTTTATAGATTTTGCAATGAGGAAGGTATAGATCATAAGGTTATTGCACCCTATATGCCTCATCATAATGGCATAGCTGAGGGAAAGAATAGAAGTATACTGAACATGACGAAAGGTATGTTGAAAGCTAAAGATATTCCTAAGAGATTTTAGGTTGAGTCGCTTCGACAGTAGTATATATTCTAAATAGATGACCAATAAAAAAGATGGTCGAAAAGACACCGCATGAGGCTTGGACAGAGTCGAAGCCAAATGTGAATCATCTTAGAGTTTTCGGATCAATATGCTTCAGGCATGTACCTGAATAATTGAGAAAGAAGCTGGATGATCAAAGTGAAGTCATGGTGCTCATAGATTATCATTTGACTGGTGCATACAAATTGTATTTGCCAAACAAAGATAAACTAGGGATCAATCGAGATGTTCTTGTAGACGAAAGCAAAGGGTGGGGCTGGAGTCAAAGTTTAGTTCGACAAGAATCAGATATAGTCACAACTGTGTTCGAAGAAGATGAACAGAAAGAAGCTTCAATGAGTCGAAATGAATAAGGTGATGCTTCAACCAATAAAAATGAAGAACCACCTGTGCAGAATGAAAGAAGGTTGATAAGAACAAGAACTGAGTCGACCAGGCTAACTGGATATGAAAGTTTACAGATCAAGCAGTTGATGCAGATGGTGACTTAATCGAAGAATCCATGATGATGGCTGAAGCATAACCAATTGATTTGGGCGAAGCCATGAGCTATTCGAATTAGTGTGAATCCATGAAAGAAGAACTCAGAGCTATTGAGAAGAACAAGACCTGGGAGCTTATCGAAAGAACCAACAAGAAACCAATCGATGTAAAGTGGATTTACAAGGTGAAACGAAGGCCAAATGGTGAGATTGCGAAGTATAAAGAAAGATTGGTGGCAAGAGGTTTTCTACATAAACCTGGTGTTGACTTAGACGAAGTATATGCGCCTGTTGCGAGGTTAGAAACAATCAGAATTATTGTTTCGATAGCAGTATATAGAGGATGGAAGATGCATCAATTAGATGTAAAGTCACCATTTTTAATGTTCCATTGGAAGAAGAATTCTATGTTACTCAACCACCAGGATTAGACGTCAAAGGGCATGAGTCGAAAGTATATTGATTAAGGAAATCTCTCTATAGTTTGAAGCAAGCTCCTAGAGCTTGGAATAAGAGGATAGATGGCTTCCTGATTGAAGCAGGTTTCACAAAGTGTGTCTCTGAACATGGATGAGATAATGAAGGTAAAGTCGAAATTAATGCAGGAATTTGAAGTCTGACTTAGAGAATCTCTCATATTTCCTAGGGATAGAATTCAAAGATACTGAAGAAGGAGTATTCTTGCATCAAACGAAGTATGCTTAAGATGTTTTGAAGAGGTTTAAAATGAGCAACTGTAATGAAGTTGTCACTCCGTTAGAAACTGGATCAAAGTTGAAAAAGGAAACGAATGATGAGTTTGTAAGTTCGACCGTTTATAAATAAATCATTGGATCCTTGAGATATCTTTGCAATACTAGACCAGATATCTGCCAAAGTGTAGGATTGTTGAGTAGATTTATGGAGAATCCACAAGAATGTTATCTCATCGCAGTAAAGAGGGTGTTGAGATACAAAAAGAGAATAACTGATCATGGTGTGGTGTTACCAAAGAAGTAGAAGAACATCACAGATGTCGAAGTTCATGGATACACTGACTTAGATTTTAATGGAGATCAAGACGAAAAGAAAGGTATTGCAGACTATATTTTCATGATCGAAGGTGCTCCAATCTCTTGGAGTTCGAGGAAGCCAAGTATTGTGGCTTTATCATCATGCGAAGCAGAATATGTGGCTGCATCATATGTTGCATGGCAAGCGGTATGGATCGAAATGCTACTTGAAAAACTCAGGATAATGGAGCTTAAGAAGATGAAGTTGTTTGTCGACAACAAGTCAGCTATTAACCTGGCGAATCACCCAGTGTGTCATGGTCGAAGTAAGCACATAGAAAGAAAGTAACATTTTCTGAGGGATCAAGTCAACAAAGGAAAACTTGAGATAAACATATATTGTAGTCTGTCGAAATCATATTTTGGACTTTAGCATGTTTTGTCTAATTGAATTTGAGCATTGTTTATCTATATAAATGGCTGCTGAATTTTAATCAAAATACAATCAATAATAACAAACTTTTAATTCTCTCTTTTTTTTCTTCTTCTTCTCTTCCATAAATCATCTTTCTTAAAAACTCTTTATTTTAACAAATATCCATATGTAATTTGTTTTTGCATGTATTACCCGTATCAATTTAAAAGTGTTGCACGAAAACGACTGTTTTGTTGTTTAGTATTTAATGAGTAGTAAATATGGTATCTAAGGAGGAGGCGGAGGCCAATTTGTAAAGTCAAAAATATGGTATCTAAGGAGGAGGCGGAGGCCAATTTGTAAAGTCAAAGTTTATAGTAGAATGAGAAAAATAATGCTTTAAAAGAGATTTGGCAAGATTTGATTAAGTATCATGTCAAATGATAAACATATATAACAATTTTTGTTTCTTAAATGTACTGCGAGTGCGGAAAAGATATTAATGCAGTGCAGCCATAGCCGCCCATTTTTATCACTATACTCAGCCGCCCATTTTAGAAATAATCACTTATGCTCATATTTTATAATATACGTTTTTGTATTGTTTTATATTTTTATATACAACATGTCTGAATTCAATTGTCATGTTTGTGGACGGATTTTTAGAGATAAGACTCTTAATTAGTTGGTAAGTTTTACCGTTTTTTTTTTTGAAGTGGGAATTTTTGTTTTTGCTGAGTTTATGAGGGCTGTTATTTCCATTAAAATAGTTAAGGAGATGAACTGATCGAAGTTGTGGTTAGAAACAGACTCTATTCTTGTTGTATAAGTTTTTTTGAATTATTAATTAATATTGTGGAAAATCAAATCTCATTAAAATTTATGTGTTAGACGTACACTTTTAATATAGATTTCATGATCACACATATTTTTAGAAAAAACATTTTTTGTACAGATTTGTTGACTAATATCAATTTAAAGAGCAAGACTTTCACTTGGTTTCATTATATCCATAGAGATATTGTAAAAGATTACTTGTTAGACAAGAAAAATACCCTTAAACTTAGACTTTGTTCTTAAGAGATTTTAGTTTGGTCTCTTATATTACATAAATTGACAAGTGATCAAAATAAAAACTAGTATTACATAAAAGAAAAAAACTATTATAGGAAAAAACTATTATAACCAAAATAATAAATATATAAAAACAACTACATTTATATCATTAAAAACATTGTTGAACTTTTTTTGGTATGTTCATGTGTTATATCTTAGCCACCAAACAATAAAACATAAAAGAAACTAAATACATGTAGAAATAATTTTATTTAAATAAAAAAGAAGAAAAATACAATTTAGACGGGTAATTTCAAGCCAAAATTAGGGATCATGTTTCCCTACATACACACATTCCCCATTCGACATGTTCTTGGCCGTTAGATCAATATTAAACAAATATTAAACAGTTAACATTTTAATATTTTTATGATCATTATCCAACAAATTTTTATGATCATTATCCAACAAGTGAGAATATGCCAAATGCGTGAATGCGGATAATATGAATCTGATTTCAAATATTAGCCTTAAACCATCTGTCACAAGTTTTTGACAATCAAAGTTGCCTAGAAAGGACTTTTCTCACACATGCACAGACCATTGAACTAAAATTTTCTTTATCATCAAAACTGCAACATAAAAACGTCAACTTATACTTAAAAAGGATCACTACCACAAAGTAAAGAAGAAGAAAAAATAGCATTTCTATTACTACAGCTGCCCCCTGATTGCTTATGCTTAACAGACCACGCAAGAGAACAATTGTTTCACCTTACAGTGACATATAACATTGGACCTCAAAGAAAAATGAAAAACTGAATCTTCAACTATTTAACACTGCTCCAAGTAGGGTTGCTGGAAAATTCAATATGCTTCTTATTATTATGCTTAGACTAGTACTTCCCTGTCATGAATCCAACTGAAACGAAGATTTGATGATTCCTTTGCTCTTGCTAGAGCTCTCTCCTCCAGCCTTCTGATTCTTGGTGGCAACCCACAAACATACTCCTGTGCCTTTCGTCCCTCACCTGAAAGTCCGGTTATGTCCGCCACCTTCCACCTTCCAACCAGAAACTCAAGTATGTCAGCATAGTCCTTGGCAGTGTAGACCCCAATGCGCTGGGCAACAGCAGAATAGTTATCAAACAGGTTGTCGTCTCGCCCATCATACATCAGATGTGCTGGCATAGCAATTTTCTTCCTCATCATGTCAGCAAAGGCCATAACTGTTCCGTCAGGATCAATCTCAAACAGCTTTTCCACTATCTTTGTGTAAGCAGTCTCGTGGCGTTTTTCATCTGAGGCAATCAGACCACAGATCTGAGCCAACTTCAAATCACCGCGTTCTTTAGCAAGCCTGGCTGTGTTTCCATGAGATATAAAGGTTGCCCTCTCTTGAAATGAAGTGTAAATGAAACCAAGGTAGGGGCTATTCTCAGTTCGAGGATCCTATCAATCAATTTCAATCATTCCAATATTAGACAGAAAAGAATTATAAATATAACAAAAATCAATTAGTGTGATGATTTCTGAGCAACATTTCAGTTAGAGCCAATTGATGAATTTCAAGGAAGTTGGATCTTATTCTAGTATCCATAAATACACATGACTTATAAGAATAACATTAATGCATTTGGATGCATTAGTTAACAAAGGGTACATGCTAAGCATATTCGCTGTAAGGATGCAAGAGTTCTTTTGACATTCGTGTGATTATGTAACTTATTCTGAAACTAACTACAACAGCTGAAGACTAAGATCGGGAATAGAAAAATATAAGATCTTACCATTCCAGAGCCAATCAAGTACTGAATTGTCTTCTCAATTTGTCTCATATCAACACGGCCAGACAAGTAAAGATACTTGTTAAGAAGATCACCATGTCTATTTTCTTCAGCTGTCCACGCCCTTGTCCAAACAGCCCAAGGAGTAGGGCTGGCACCTGTTTCATCACGAACTCCGTCCAAAGTATTAAGCATTGTTTGGTAAGTAGGAAGAGCTTCTTCTGTGACCATATCTCCAACCAGAACCACAAAGTAATCATCTGGAAGCTCTTTTGCCCTCTCTCTCAGCTCCTTCACTTGCTCTTCGAATCCATCCGAGGAAGGATCCGGCAGAAAATCCTGTGGTTGCCAACACTTTTCTACTGGTTTAAGGTGAGTCAATAGGGTTGTCTCAGCCCAACCCTCTAGAGATTTGAAAATTTCAATCTTTTGGGGAGGCATAGAGTGGGTTACTTGAACATGCACTTCTCTCGGAGGCGTGAAAGCCTTCTTAATATTTTCAACCTCTCTGCATAGTAATTTTAAATGACTTTAGAGCAAAAGTACAGCACAATTCCAACGATCTTGCTTACGCAAAATTGATTTATGACATACCGCATTTATTTATCGATTAAATTCATAACATCATTCATAGAAACAATATCATAAAACGCCTACTTAAAGTTAATCAAAAGGACAATTTTACGGAACATACGTAGATTATTCAAACAAAATCACCAAAAGTGTTACCAATACTCTGTATTTAGCTCCAACAAGATGACCATTATATATAAGGGGTAAACATTCATGAAATTCACATATGCATGAATTAAAAACTAAGAAGCTATGAAACACATACATCAAAAACACAAACACCGACCCTGACACATCAACTACCATAAAAACGTAATCACAAATATCGGTGTAAGGCTGACACATCTTTTTTCAGGGGTGTCTGTAAATCAAAATCAAAGCAAATCAAGGTAACTAAACCCAACAAGTTCCTATATTGATAATTGATTACACACACAAAGATTCCAGTTGAGTAAGAATTAAATAAATAAATCCAAAACTGAATATAGAGTGAAGTTACCAAGGGAATATGCGTTGATGCCATTGAAAAGAGTACAATCAACCGAACAAAATGAAGGTCTACGTACTTGTAAAGAATATTAGAAAAGAATGAGAAAAAATAGTGCAAAATCATTAAATATATTACTGACAGAAACATGCATTATTTTTAATGTGCAAAAGTATACACGAAAATAGGGTAATATATGAAAAACAATGTTTAATCACAAGTTGTTTTCAGCTGAAAAACAAAGAAAATTGAATAAGTTGTTGAGATAGTTAGAATACTAGTAAGAAAAATTAAATTACTCAACCAAACAAGGCTCCGGAATTTCCTCAGCAACCACAAGATTTATACATGCAAGAATCAAAAAGAAAAACATAGAGAAAAATTGAATGCAATCGAACCACCCTAACCATCACTTTACCAAATAAAAAATAAAAAAAAGAAAGAATTGAATATGATATAAAATCGGCATTTACGATGAATAATCAAGATAAGAAAAGATATAATAAGAAATTGAAATTGGAGATGCGACATGAGCGATGAAAACGAGAAATGATAGATTAGGGATCTGACTGACTTGGAACCGGAGCGGAGAGTGGAAGCCATGACGAATTTGGGAGATCTGAGACTGGCCATTTGCGGGAGAGAGAAGGAGGAACTTTGTGTAGGGAAAGGGGTTGCTCGGACAGCCATTGCTGGATTCGATTTTCAAGAATTTTGTGTTTTGAGAGAGAGAGAGAGAGAGTGAGAGAGAGAGAGAGAGAGAGTGTATGTGTATTCGTGTATTTGTGTATTGTGATGTGAGGCAGGAGAAAATGGGAAGTGAAGCCACTTAATAGTCTTCTGGTGTGTTGTGAATTTATTTACTATACTTTTCCACCTCTCTTCCCCATACTCCTATTTTCCCTCTTTCGTTGCTAGGACCTTTTTACCCCTGCCTTAAACACTTCACTCTTTTTTGTTTTAACATTTTTCACCGACCAATTATATTATTGTACTACTAGTGTATATTTCAGAAATCTTATTTGAACCGTATTATATGGTTTCGTATATAGTATTATTTTTATTTTATTTTATTTGCTCTTCTTTTATCATATATAAAGTGGATTTTTTTTTTCGACGCATCAACATCCATGATATCAAATAATTGAGTAAATAAAAAGAAAATTATTTTGATCATTCTAGAATTAGTTTTATGAAATGTCGCTAATAAATGCAATTTAATTAAAGTAGAAATGATAGGTGGTAAATTAACTTGGAATAGATCTTGTCTTAGATGACATTGTTTGACGCATGACTTTTCTTGATGCATATGTTGAGGTGTTGTGTAAAGTTCATTGTGGTGACAATCTCAATCTTCTTAAGTGTGACATTCCCCTCCAAGACCACGGGTCACGTCTTTTTAGATTTGAGGCAGATTAGATCACTCACTCTGAAATTAGGGGTGTTCACGGTGCGGTTTGGGTGGTTTTGAAGAAAAAAATCACCCGAACCGCAAGAGAAAAAAATATGCGGTTCGGTTTGGTTCGGTTGGATTTTAAAAATAAATCCGAACCAAACCAAACCAAACTAATGCGGTTTGGATTGGTTCAGTTGGTTCAGTTTTTTATAAAAAAAATTATTAAGTCATACATACAAATATAAAGGAAAATATAATTTTGTGTTTAATTATTCATACATTACCATAAAAAAATTTATAATTGTCAAAATAAGTTTATAATTTGATACATAAAATTGCGTATTATAATTTTATCTAAATCTAAAGAATGATATAAACAATATTGCATTCTTAAATAAATATTATACAAAGAATACGATAAAATATATTTTGTGAAAATAATATTTATAAATGAATAATGTTTTATTTTTTTATGATTTGTAAATTAAAATGAATATAATACAAAGTATGATAAAATATACACATAATACATGTTGATTTCTCTAAAGAATTAAAAAATATATATTGGTTAGTAAGATTTTATAACATAATGCGGTTTGGTTTGGTTTGGTTTGGTTCGGTTTATAAAATACAAACCGCAAACCGAACCGAACCGTGCGGTTCCGCGATAAAATGACCCAAACACATCCAAACCAAATGCGGTTTTTTGCGGTTTCGGTTTGGTTCTGTTTGGTTTTGCGGTTTTCTATTGGGCCGGTTTGGTTTTGAACACCCCTATCTGAAATACTCCAATATAGTGCAAACTGCTTAGGGGAAATTCCTATATGGCATTGTAACTTGTCTCTAAAATGTGTCGTACGATTCGATCCTTTTTAATAAGGAAACTTTTTGCAATATCAAAAAATGGAAGCACGACATTTAGAAGAGACTCAAGGGTATCCAATGCTCTTTTGCGTAATCAGGCGGAAGACAAATAAAGTTAATGGTCTTCATCTTCCCAATAGTGTTTGGTGCAATTATGATATTATTCTCAAAGAAGAAGCGCTGAATTTTTTTAAGGGTCTTTTATGTCATACATCTTTTACACTCTTCGTTAGTATGGGTGATTCAACTATGACTCTGATTCTTACTAAAGAAGCCTGACATTCTTTGACTCAACATGTGACGAGGGAAGAAGCTACTCATGCGTTGAATCAAGTGCACTCTTTTAAGGTGTCTGAAAATGAAGGATTCCAAATTATTTTCTTTAAACATTTTTGGCATATAGTTAGAGACGAAATTGTCCAACTTATATCATAAGCTTTTGTGACAGGTAGCCTTAATTTCTTTCTTTTTTAGACTCTTATCGCATTAATTCTTAAGGTAAACTGTCCCCAAAAGTTTAAGGAATGCAGACCCATTAGCTTGTATAAAACTATTTACAATCATATTACAAAGATTATGGTTAACGGATCGTGTCTTTATCTAAATCAAATAGTTAGACCTTTCTAGAGTATTTTTTTTTTTTTGGTAAAGAGACAATTGATAATATCAGTATCCTCTAAGAAGCAATTCACTCTACGCGTAAGTCTAAAAAGAAAAAAGTTGACATGGTATTCAAAATAGATCTCGAAAAAGCCTATGATCGTGCTAATTGGGATTTCTTGGAATTTTGTTTGAAGCAAAACATGTTTCCTTCCATTAGAATAAAGTTGATCATGCGATGTGTAACTAGCTCCTCCATGTCTATTCTTTAAAATAGGAGACAACTACCAAATTTTGTTGCGACTAGGATTACAACAAGGTGACCCCCTATTCACCCTATCTCTTCGTCATCTGCATGGGATTTTTGTCGCAAACAATCATCAAGGCAGTCGATGAAGGTCATTCAAACCTATATGGTTATCTCATAATGGACCCCTATATCACATTTATTTTTTTCTGATAATGTTTTTCTTTTTGTGAAGGTTTCTAACTCCCAAATAGGGATCATTTCTGATATCTTGAATCATTTTGCAATGTTTTCTGGCCTTAAAGTGAATGTTTCTAAATCAAAGCTATTCTTCTCCTTTACCACTAAGAGGTGTGAAATGAATTTAATTGTCTCTGTGATACGGTGGGAGAACTGACTTGAGGTTTTGCGTTTGTTTTCGCAAATGTTTCGGTTGAGCAAGAGTCGCCACCGACTTTTTATTTTATCCTAAGGAAAGGTTAAAAAGCACAACAAAAACCTTTTGAGATGTTTTCTTGGGTTCGGGGAGTAGATTATAGAAAGGGAAGGTATTAGCACCCTTTCTATCCATGGTTATCCATGGGCTCTTAGTTACTTTCTTAGATCACTTGCCTTTTATTTTCAATTGTTTTAAATGGTGCTTGTGTGTGTGGGTTTGAAAATGTTTTGAAAAGAAGCCAATGTGGTGGCAACCTTTGTAATGATCCATGTGGGGATGTATACAAAGGTGTATGTCTTTTGAAAAAAAGTTTTTATTTGTTTTTGGAAGTTGTTTTGAAAGTGTAGTGATGTGTGGTTTAGAAAATAGGCAAGTGTTTTTTTTTTTTTTGCAAGTTTTGATTCAAGTAACTAAGAGGTTATCTACTCCTAAATTTCTCAAAGTTTATTGCTATGTTTTAACCCTTTTAACAAGTTTGTTCCACCATTGTATTTGGTGGACAATCTTATGTTTAGGATGTGAAAGGGACGGGCGTGGGTGTTGGCTGAAGATTTTGATAGTGTTATTTAGAATTCAAAAAAGAGCTAGAAGTTCTGATCGAAATGGAATTAAAACACCACGCTTCGAAATTGCAGAAGCAGTGTTTCGAATGAGTGTGTCAAAGCTTGAAGCTTCGAACGGTGATCATGGGAGCGTATCCAAAGGGGTCTCGAAACAGCAGCGAAGCTAGGTCTGAGAAGAGCGTTCGAAACAGAGAAACACCAAAGCATTTAAAATTTAAATGAAAGCGGGACTTTCAAAGTTTGAAAGTTATGTGTTGGAGCATTTGGGGACACGTGGAAAGATGAAAGAAGCATTGTCTTGCATGTTCGAAACGTGGCATGATCTTGTAGCGAGACCGTTAGGGTCGAATTAGTATAAATAGAAGTCTTAGTGTTAGGATTTCAGTGTGTCATATCTGTTATACAAAATACTCAATAACATTCAAACTACCACATGGCAAGGGAAACGAATGCAAGAGAGATGTATGTATGATAGCACCATGTATTTCTAATTTAATAAAAGCCTTTTTACTATTTCCAGCACTTTCCTTCTTTTTCTTTCTGTCGAATAACATTTGCAAGTTTCTTTATCTACTGTCTTTTCATTCCAAAGTCTTTTCTTCAAAGTTTTACATTTTACTGCTTTCTTTATATTTCGAGCACTCTATATTTCAGAGAACTTTTACGCTCTCAATACCTTTACTTTCAAGTATTATTCTTCAAACCTGTACTTTCACTTAAAGTCATTTCTAGATTTCTTGCATTAAACGCTTTCTTCACATTTTAAACTTCCACATTCCAGAAACCTTTTGTGTTAAATGTTTTATGGATCGAAACCAGTTACTTCATTTTCCATACAGTTTTATATGTCTTTTCAATCAGCATTACAATTAGCAATTATTCGTATAACTTAGTTTTCACATACATTTTGACCACATTCTTAAACTCTTAGAGAGAGGGATCGAAATAAACCAAACATTTGTACAATAGCACCCATGAATGATTGTTCGATTGTGAGAGTAACCTTAATATCCAAGGAGTCCTAGGATCAATCTAGTCGATCCTGTGAGTTACCAAAGAGATTGAGTAGCGTTAATAAAGATTATTCGATAGTTTGGAAGACTAGCGGTTGTTTACCAGAAATCACTGGAAACAAATTGGCACACCCGGTGGGACCAATAGTTGGATATCAGAATTAAGGATTGTCGAGACATAGCCATCCCAGAAACGTAGGAACCTAAGGAGTTTGCTGTTTTATGAACCTGAGAAGTGGTAAGATAACCAACAGCAACCAACCTTTATCCAGAAGAAAACGTTTGGACAAAATGTCTAATTCAGACAATCAACAGGGAGACCAAGGTGGCCCACAGGCAACAGGCACTAACGCGTCCATTTCGAGCGGAACATCTAATGTAATCCCTTCGAATGCACAGTCTGTTGCATCTTCAACCAGTAACATGGCCACCAACGGAGTAAGTGGCATATCAACCAACAGTTCGATCTTAGGAAATACTGGGACTATGGGCTACCCTGGGGGATTCGTTCCGCCACCTGGGACACAATCCCATTTCGCCACTCCATCAACTAGACCACCCGGCTTCG